GGTTGATCTTGTACTAAGGGTAAGTTTGGAGTTGTTAGCGAGGAATAAAAATATTTTTTCGAAAGATTTACCACCAGGGCTACCTTGTAGCTATAAGGTTAATCATTGGATTAAGATTGTTTCAGATTCTAAACCACCTACAATAGCTTTATATCATTTGAACATATAGGAGGTGGTTGAACTCAAAAAGTAATTCATAGAGCTCTTTAATAAATGTCATATGTAACCAAGTAAGTCACTTTATAGAGTGTTTGTCCTTTTTGTTATGAAAAAGGATGGTGATATGTATTAATTATCAGGCTCTCAATAAAATTATGGTCAAAAATAGTTATCCTTTGCCTCATATTGATGACTTGTTTGACCAACTCTTAAAGGCTAAGTATTTTATATGAATTAATGGTTCGAATATCATTAGAAATGGGTGGTAAATAAAGACGTGGAAAAAACAACTTTTAAGACTTGTTACAAATCTGACAAGTTCCTCATTATGCCATTCGGGCTATATAATTCATATTTAGTATAATGATGGAAAGAATATTTAGAGATTATCTGGATATATTTAATATTTTATATATTGATAATGTTTTAGTCTTTAGTGATACATTGAAGGATCATTTGAAACACTTGGAAGTACTATTTCAAAAGTTGTAAGAACATAAACTATATGCTAAGGAGAGTAAATATGTTTTTAGTCAATTACATATGAACTTTCTTGGGTATATAATAGGTGGTGAAGAAGGTAGAAGTGGTGAAGTCTTAAAAAGTCCCTATAAGCAACCAAAGGGAATGACTCAAGAAATGATCCATTAGGATTCAAATATAAAGGGAAAGAGCCCATGAGCAAGAGTGCATTTTTTGTTAAGGGTCTTAGGATACATGGGGTTAAGTGTTGTAAGATCTTAAATTTGGACTTCCAAGGAAGTCACCCAACTTAGTACTATTCAAACCCAAGGACACTTAACCTTAAATATCTCAAGACTCTTAACTAATTAGAAAAGGGGGTGCACTTTTATTCATAAACCCTTTTCTTTTTATATTTGAACGTCATGGACTGTCTTTTAAGTCATTCTTTTTGGTTGCTTACAATTCACCATGCTTCTCTACAAGGTTACGCCCTCGTGAATGGAAATTAAGAACCATAGCTCCCCCAAGAGCCTTATTCTCTTGACACCCTACCTCTCGAGTCAAACCCAGCCGAGAGTAAATTGGATTTGCTAAATGTCAATCTTAATATGTGGTGTGATTCCCCTAAGCTAACCAATAGAGTTGGACCTGAGACCCCTCTGATACCAAATGTAAGCTCTTAAATTTAGACTTCCTAAGAGGTCACCCAACTTGATACTATTCAAACTAAAGATGCTTAACCCCAAATATCCTAAAACCTTTAACTGATTGGAAAAGGGGGTGCATTCTTATTCATGGGCCCTTTTCTTTTATATTTAAACCCCATGGATTGTCTCTCAAGTTGTTTTCTTTGGTTGCTTACAGTGTCCTTGGGTTTGAATAATACTAAGTTGGATGACCTCCCAAGAAATCTAAATTCAGAAGCTTACAGTTCCAACTAATATATAAGATATTTATTCCTTCTCAGTTTGGCAGGATACTATTGCAAGTTTGTTCACAATTTTGCAAATATTGCTCTTCTATTGACTGAGTTAACAAAGAGTAATATACTATTTTATTGGATACCAACTTTTCAATGTGCTTTTTTAGAATTGAGGATTCCAGATCTTCATAAACCCTTCGAAGTGAATTATGATGCATTTAACTATGCTATTGATGCCGTGTTGTAGCAAGATTTTGATAGTGTGGTTAAAGCAACATAGTTATCCCGTTCTATTTTACTCCAAAAAATTGGATGAAACCCAACGAAAATAGTTTATGCAATGTTTACTATAGTGTTAGCATTGGAACATTGGAGATATTATTTAGGTGGTCATACCAAGTCTTATATGGATAATAACACACTGAGTTACTTTGCACTGTAACTAAATCTTACACCAACGCAAGCTCGTTGGTAAGACAAGCTTGTTAGATTTGATATTGAAATAATTTATAAATCTGGTAAAGACAATATTGCTCCAGATCTATTGAGTTGTCAAAATCAATTCTGGGTAATATCAGCAATTAGTTTAGACTAGTTAGAGGGTGTTTAAACTTCATATAGAAGTGATTTATTAGCAAAGGTGATCTTGTATCATATGGAATTGTTGAAGTAAAATCTTGATAACGAAGTGGCGAAAGTTGCTAGTCATGCCAATGTGAAGCTTCATTTCTCAGTTAGGATGAGTGGAGAACTACAAAATCACCTTTACATTGATCTTGTGAATCCTCTCTAATCTAAACTAGATCCAAACATAAAAAGGAAAGAAATACTTAGCCATGTGCTATTGCAAAGATGTTGATGCTGAAATTGATGCACATCTCACAACCTTGATCCCCAGAAGGCAATGAGTAAGATAGGCATGGAAGAGAAGAGTAGATGTTGAGCAAGTGGAGTGTCTGTTATTATGGCCAAGGATATAAAAGACAAAAAGGGGATAGGTTTGGCATGCTATCACCAGCCTATATAACCACTATATGCCTAGTCATCCAAGTCAAGAATTTAGACCGGGAGAAATCCTGATCTCAATTTCTGACTCAGGAAATGCCTTTGTGCGAAAATCAGGATGCAAAATGTACCTCTTTAATGAGTTTATTTATTATAAGAAAAAAAAATTGTATCTTCCACCCAAGGATCTACAATAGGTGTTTCTATGGAAACATCATGATGTTTTGGCAATAGGACATGGTGGTAAATGAAATGCTCTTGCATCATTGAAAAAGGGATTTTTCTAATCTAGTATGGAAGGTGATGTAGCAAATTATATCCATTCTTGCTTTACCAACTGAGAAGCAAACTAGGAAGTTGTAATGCATTCTAGCACTAGCATAGCCATTTTAGAGTATGACATTTACCTTTATTATTTATTTGCCAAAGTCTAAATTATGACACTTTGATGGTGGTTGTGGATTTATTGTTAAATATTGCACACTTCATTCCAACTATAGAAATAATGAATGCAAAGCAAGTGACAAAACTTTTTTTCTATAGAGTAGGACAGGTTTATGAACTTTTTGAAGAGATGATCTTGAATAAAGATTTGAGATTTACAAGGAAGTTTTAGGGTATATTGTTTCAATTATTTGGTACCAAGTTAAAGTTTAGTACAACTTGTCATCCTTAAATTGATAAACATATGAATGCTCAAGTTGAGGATTATCTATGGTACTATTTCACAAAGGACAAGCATGACTGGGTTGAGCATTTGGACACAATAAAAATCTATTATAACAACATATTTCAAAGCACTATTAGTTGTTCTTCATGCGAGATATTGCAAGGGAATGCTTGTGAGGTCCTTAGTAAATTGTTGTACCAAAACAAATATCTAAAGTGTTGGTCTCAGCCATTGAGATTTATATGAGTAGCTACACTAAAGTTGGTCTAGGGTAACTGAGGCGATGGACAAAGCTTGGGATAGCTATTGACGTGATAAGGATCACCATCATCAAGATATAACCTATCAAGTGGGAAACTAAGTTTTGTTATCCTCACAAAACTTGAATGTTAAGGGGTCTTTATCTTGGAAGTTATTGCTGAGATATGTTGGGCTTATCAAGTGTTAAAGTGGGTTGGTGATATATCTTATAAGTTGGATCTTTTAGATGCATTTATCCTATATGTATGATATATTTTGTGTCAGTTTGTTAGCATTATATCATGCTTTTGTAGACTATTCTATGGATTATTCTCGCCTTCTGGAGGTTGTAAATGGTGCCTCTAAGTATGAGGTTGAGGCAATTTTTTGTCCTACAAGGCCTGTAATGTTGTTCTAAGGAATATCTAATTTAAATGGAAAAGTTATCCAACTTGAGAATCAATTTAGGAGCCTCTTAGTAATCTTACCCATACCCATGAGCTTATCATAGAGTATGATAATCATAATAAAAAGTAGCTTTTATAATCCTTTATAATAAATCTTGCACATTAATAAAGTAATATGTTTTTCACCATCTAAAATTTCTTTCATTTATATTAGTCAATTTTGGTAGGCTAACTTCGGCATCTTGGTGCATGAATTCAATCCATAACCATGAGGATAACTATTATAAACTGATCACAAGTTCTTACCTTTCTTTTGTTGACCCATTTTTAAAAAGGGGCGTGGTCATATAAACAATTTATTCTACTAATTTATAATAGTTGTTTAAACCTTTTTAATGGGGTTAAATTTTTCTCAAGGGAGTTGTGCCTTTGGCTCTCTCTCTATATCCCTGTAGACAAGGGTGTATCATTCTTTTATAAATTGAGTGGTTCTTAGAGTAGCAAGGGTGGTTAACTTTGTTAATCTTTTTCTTATTGGTGAAGTAGATATATACAAACTTTAGTTAATAACAATTTCTAATGTAGTAATAGAGTGTTTAGGTCTTAGCATCTTTGGACATAGAGTAGACATAGTTTCCAACTCATTTAAGTTGGTATATTTCTTATAATTGTGCTTTCTATTAACTTTTGGAGTTGTTTTCTTAGCAATTAGTTAGGCTTGGGTATGCATTGATGAGGACGTTGATTTTTTATAAGGGGGGTAAAGTATCATAAATGTGACTTTGGGTATCAAAAAATATTTATTAATCAATATTTATGAACACTCCCTCTTTACTGCTATAATGGCATATTAATTCTCTTTATCAGCCCCTTCTGTGTAAGTGTTAGTAAATTGGATTTAGATTTGTACTTGACTAGATAAATATAGAGAAGAAATTCTTAAGTGTTTATTTAGCTAAACATACATGGCATAGTTTATTAGTTCTCTTTTATTAAGTTATGCCAAATATGTTTAGCTAAGTGTCTATTTAGCTAAACATATTTGGCATAGCTTATTAGTTCTTTTTTATTTTATCTTGTACTATAAACTCAACACTCTTAATTATAGAAACCTAGCAAGCAAGTCAATGGATTTTAGAAATTCTAGGCTGGTCATATAATTTCAAGAAATCCCAAATCTCAGACAGAAATGTTGGGAATTAACATAGAGAATATCCAATATCGTAGAGTACCATGTGTACGGACTTTTTTTCACGCAACACCATTTTCACCATAGTATCTTACAGGGATGATACTCTCTCGTTAATAGGACTTCGCAAAAATGGCCACCTCATGGGCAGTTTTGTTTGTGAAAATGCACGTCTTTGCCTCTGGCTGGTCGAATGGGAAGCATCGAATGGTGGCTCCAGTTTCTTCTTTCACAGTGGTCTCGTTGTCATCACTGTTTGAAACCATTCATCAAAGATCGCGCGAAAGGAATTTCACGAGAAAGTTTACCTCCCACACCATGGGCCCCTCGCCCATTTTCCCTCGGCAATCACAGCCTTGAGCTCCTCGTAAGAATTGACATCCACTATGTTACTGCACAGCACGATAAGTTATTCTTCAAGCAAGAATGAAAGACAAAAGAACCTGTCTCGGAATTCAGTCGCTCTGGCCAACAAACTTGACTGAATGTCGTCCAGCTTGGCTCGCAAGTGATCAATCAAAACGCTTCTGTCCATAAATATGCCAAATTCTTTCCCTGCCTTGCCGGGAACATCTCTTCTAGCAACTACAACTGAGTTGTTTGCAACGTCTTTGGGCCCGATTTCAATTCGAATCGGTACTCCCTGCACTCCACAAATGAGTAGAAAATAAATGGACAATCCACACTACCTTCAGTTCCCAGTGGTTGAACTTCCATCCCGGAGTTCTTTGATCAAATGTGTCCAGTTTGACCCGAATGCCGGCGGCCCTCACAAGACTCTCGACCTTATGAGCCGCTTGTAAAACAGCTTCTTGTTCGTCACCCTTCTTCCAAATTGGCACGATCACAACCTGGAAACACTCAACCTCTTATCAACTAGAGCATTGAGTGCACTGATTTTACCTGAATGGGAGCAAGCTTTGGAGGAAGCATCAATCCTTTATCGTCGCCGTGTGTCATGATAATGCCTCCTACCATGCGGGTGCTCATTCCCCAGGACGTCTGCCAGATATGTTGCAAATCACCATTTACATCCGTAAACTGCCGGGATGAAAACATCAGAGACAGAAACACATAGGTACACAATTTGTGTGATACCTGAGTCTCAAAAGCTCGAGCAAAATTTTGGCCAAGGTTGTGACTAGTACCAGCTTGCAACGCCCTTCGATCTCCCATCATGGCTTCAATAGTATACGTACAGATAGCGCCCGCAAATCTTTCAAGTCTCGACTTACGGCCCACGATCACTGGCATCGCAGCTTGTTCGACAGCAAAGGTCCGATAGACCTCTATCATTCGAAGAGCCTAGCACAGGAAAATGTTTTTAGCTACAAAACACATACACACATAAAACCGACACCATACCTCCTCTTCAGCTTCTTGCGCTGTTGCATGGGCCGTGTGGCCTTCTTGCCACAAAAACTCTAGTGTTCTGATAAAAGGCTTCGTTCTTCTTTCCCATCTCGTCACGTTTGCCCACTGATATCAACCATCTGTCAGAAAACTATCACATCTAAGTTAACACTCGAGCTGTAAGAAGCAGTTACCTGATTGACCAGCAGTGGAAGATCCCGATGACTTCGAATCCACTGAGCAAACATGTGATTCACCATGGTTTCGCTCGTTGGTCTCACCTGGAAAGCATCTGTACATCTCACATGATCAAGGAGGATAAGTTTCAAAGAACTCACCACAAGCTTCTCTTCTAGCTCTTTCCCTCCGCCTATAGTCACCAGTGCAAGCTCGGGGCTAAATCCTTCGACATGGCTTGTTTCTTTCTCGATGAACGAGTATGGAATGAGCTGCCAGAACGTAGCTGTGAAGACTCGTTTAACTCAAAGCGCGTAGTACCTGTGGGAAGTACATGTTGGAATGTCCAGTCTCCTTGAATTTTGCGTCGAGCCATGACTGCCAAGAACATAAAATGGATTAGAAGAACGAGAAGAACCTCAAGAAAAAAGGAGTAGAGAATGAAGAAAACCTGGACAAACTCCCAAATCGCATAGCCGTAAGGTCGAATCACCATAGTTCCTCGCACTGGCCCATAATCCGCGAGCTCGGCAGCGTCAATCACATCCAGGTACCATCGACTGAAATCCTGGCTCCTCGGCGTCACGGCCTCGTCCACCGGCTTCTTTGCGGGACGGATTTCGGCATCCTCCACGGCGGTGGCGCTCGCATTGCTACCTGCATTCGCGTGAATCGAACAAAAGCACCTCTTTCGGGAGCTCCAGATGAGGGCGCCAGCAGCAATCCCCCTGGCGCCCATCGCAGCTCGCACGGAAGATCCACCGACGCATCCCAGCACTGGCAAGGCGCACAAAGCCCTCGACACCATAGCATAAAGCCCTAAAATTTTGGCTAAATTCCAGCATCTATATTCAAAAAGAGGATATGCTATAGAGAATTGGCGCTCTCCAAATCTCCTAGCTTGATATACATGCCTCGAAGAGAAGCCACGACCGTCTTCTCGGCTCCAAGCTTGGATTGGAGAGCGCGAAGATGGAGCTCTCTTCCCAGCTCGAGCTCGCCAAGAGCGCTCACTGCCGCCGCAACGATGGAAACCGTGACTTTGTCCATTTCCAGCTCCATCTCTCGAAAGATTTCCACCGCTTCCTCGTGGTGTCCAAGGTGGGAGTAAGCTCTCAGCAGTGAATTCCAGCAGCCAACGTCCTTGCGATGGATGCCATCGAAGATACCCTGAGCTTCTTCCAGGCCGATGCACCGAGCGACCATGGCGGTAAGAGCTGCTCCAACGGTAGAGTCCGAGCAAAGTCCGAGCTCTCCAGCGAGTCCCTGGATTCTCTCGCAGTCCGGAACTGACTCGAGCTCCGCCACTGCTGTCATGGCGATGGCGAGGCAGCTTCTACCAGGATTTCCACCCTCCTGGAGCATGTCGCGGAAGAGATCGAGAGCCTCCAGGTTGTAGCCACTCTGGGAGAACGTCTCCATGATCAGCGTCCACGAGCAATCGTCCACACTTGGCATTGCCTCGAAGGTCTTGCTGGCGAGTTTCAAGAGCTTGAGCTTGGCAAACATTCGCAGGAGTGAGTTCCCGACTTCCAGGCTGCTGTTATATCCGCTCTCGAGGATCCACCGGTGAATAAACTTTCCCTGCGCCACTGTCGTCACCCCGCCAAGAGCCGCGGTGAAAGTTGCAGAATCCGGAGGGCCTCCTTCTAGCTGCATCCGTTGAAAGAACTCGATCGCCCGAGACGATTCGCCAGTAGTCCCAGCGAACGCAGAGATGACGGAGTTCCAAGATGCCGCCCTTGCTCGGTTCATCCTGTTAAATGTTGTCACCGTGTCCTCCACACTGCCATAGCTGCTGTAAAGTTCCAAGAGGGAGCTCCCCACAAGAACTTCCAGCTCCAGCTCGCTGCCTTGGATCGCCGCGTGAATTCTTTTCCCAGCTTCTAGCGCTCCCAGCTCCTTGCAGGCTCTGAAGAAACCCGAGTAGCTCCCACGATCGCCTCGAACACCTTCCAGGTGCATCGTCCACACAAAGATCAGAGCCTCTCTGCTGCACAGCGCGTGGACGTGCCCCTGAATCACCGCATTCCACACCAAAGCGTTCCCCCGGTTTAACTTCCGAAACACCCTCCTTGCGTCTCGCAAGCTCCCACAAACGCAGTACATCTTGACGAGAGCAGCGGCAGTCTTGATATCAGCTTCCCAGCCGTCCCGAAGAATTTGAGAGTGTACCAGCCTGCCTTTCTCGAGCCACTGGGGGGAGTGACAAGCGTTCAAGAGCGCGATGTACGTCATCCTGTTGGAACGAACTCGACTGATTTGCATTACGTCGTGAGTCGTGAAAGCCTGGCGCGAGAGGCCCCGGCAAACGTATGCCTCGATCAGGTTCGTCCACCCGGCCACGTCTCTGTTGATAATCTCGTCGAAAGCCGCCTGTGCATCCTGGAGTCGTCCACAGCTCGAATACATCCTGATGATCGAGGCCCCGGTCACTGTGTTAGTCTGGATTCCCAGTTGTTGGCAGCAGTCGTGGATAAGTCTTCCTTCCTTGAGATAGGCCGGACCAGCACAGGCACTGAGAAGAGCGGAGAACGTCCCTTGGTTCCCCGAGTATCCTTCCACGTTGAACTGGTAAAACTTGTCGAAAACGTCGTCATAGAAGCCGTGACGAGCATAAGCTCCCATCAGAGCATTCAACGAGGCAACGCTGGGTGATTCGATAGTGTCGAATATCAGCTGAGCGATGTGTAGCCTCCCACACCTTCCATACACGCTGATGAGAGCATTTGATACCAACAGGTCGGAGCCTAGTCCCCAGGACACCACATCCCAGTGAACCTGTTTGGCAAGCTCTAAATCCGCTAGCTTCGCACAGACGTAGATGAGTGCCAGCAAAACCCGCTTCTCCCTGACAATTCCCTCCTGCTGGACAGTCCTGTGAACTTTCATCACCCCCGGTATATCACCATACTGAGCACAGCCCTCGATCATTTCCCTCCAGATCACTGGCTCCAGCCTTGGCATCCTGTAGAAAACTTCTTTTGCCTCCTCTAAGCTTCCACAGTCGAGGTACATCTTCACAATGAGGTGACCAAGTGATTCTTCTCGAGCACGGCCACTTTTGCGGATGTGTTGGTGGAGACGCTTTGCTTCGGTGAGATTTTTCAAGTGGCCAGCGTACCTGAGATAGTGCGCGTAGTAAGGTCCTTCCACTCGGGTAGGCAGTTTATCCACCACTTCTTTCAGTCGCTGGTTCTTCTTTGCCGGGAGAATATCTACAGTCTGGCCCTTGTGATCCCAACCGTAGTGCTTGATCGGGTGAATCACTAGCCTTTGCATCTTCTCCCTGACGAACGTAAAGTATACATTGTCGTAAGTTGTGGTTCCCGATTCGTTGTGAAACGTTCTGGAACTCACTTGAGAACCTGGAGTGAACGAGTGAGAAAAGACCACTACATTCTAAATGGGTCTCGCTAACTTACCAGGTAAATGTTTTAAGTCGCTTGTCTTTACAAACAGCTTCGCCGTGCTGGTCGTCTTCCTCTGCAGCACTTGCAGCATCTCGCATTGTGCGTGTGCTCCTTTAAACCCTAAACCCAAGAACAACACGAACACATCAAAGTCACCAGAACTTATCAAAAACGTCTTGCCTCAAAAAAATGGACACGAGTTGTCAAAAGGAAAATCTCAAACGGACCTGCAAAGTCAGTCCAGCCCGACTAAAGCTTAGAAGTAAAAGTCCATACCTGAGTAGAATCACCAATAATCTCGGCACGCACAGTGACCATCCACGAAACGATGAAGCTGGCTGCTTCCATCTCTCAAGATGATTGTTCTGCCCATCGCCTTGGACATAAACTTGATGGCCGTGTGACAGTCAGCGCACATCCTGAAGTTCCTGATAATCCTGAGAGGACAATCTCCCCGAATTTTGATGGCTCCCAAGCCAACAGCAAGTCTCTCGCTATGATAAAACAGCGATTCCTGTCTCTGTTCTTCAGCTCTCTCATGCATAAGCAGCTTGCTCGCATCGGGAGCATAGCCATCCTTTGCTATTCTCTGGCCCAGGTCCTCTAGCTCGGCATGTATCCCCTGTATCCTCTTGTGTCTTGTGTCAGCAGTGATGAACTCGTGACAAGTGGTATTCCCGACCAAAATTGAGCTTGTCACGCGTTCTTCTGTCAAGCCTTTGCTGGTCATTGTTTCTCGGACTCTGGCAGCATCATCCGATCTTGCGAGAGCATCGTAAAGGCCAGCGACAACAGCATAAGATCTAGCCGCGTGTGGACTACACTCCAGTAAGCTTTCAGCAGCAGATCTTCCTCGATCCAAATCTCCGTGTATCCTGCACGCCGTAACTAGAGCGTCCCAGACGGAAGCCTCGGCATCTGGCAGCTTCTTGACATACTCCTCGGCTTCTTTCACCCAGCCAGATCGTCCCAGGAGGCCGACTGCGCAGGCATAGTGCTCGGCTATCGGAACCACGTCGTAGTCACTGCTCATGTAGACAAGATGGAGAATCCCTTCTCGTATGAAACCAGCATGCCCGCATGCAACCAAGACACTCGTAAATGTCTTGGCGTTTGGCTTCACACCTTCCTGTAGCATCTGTAAGAACACCTGTATAGCCTCGGTGCTGTAGCCTGAAGAGCAGTACGCTTCCACCATAAAGTTCCACGAGAACCAGTTCTTCTCCTTCATATTGTCAAACACCGCCCAGGCTTCCTCAACACTGCCACACTTTCCATACATGTCCACGAGTGCGTTGCCCACGAAAACATCTTGCTCAAGGCCTTTCATTGTTATCCAGCCATGAACCTCTTGCCCCGCTTCCAGAGCCAGGAGACTCCCGCAAGCTTGCAGAAATGCCACGCAGCTACTAGCATCAGCCACCATCTTTGCGGACTCCATCTCTTTCAGCAAGACAAAGGCTTCGCTGCAATGGCCGTGCTCGCTGTACGCTGCTATCATCTTGCTCCAAACCACCGGACCCCTGTGAGCCATCCCGTCGAACACTCTCCGAGCATCATCCAAGCTTCCACACTTGCCATACATATGTACCAGCGAAGAGTTCACGAGATCGTTGCTCTGGAGGCCATAAACGGTGACGAGCTCGGCCACCATCCTGCCTTCGTGCAAATTCCCACTCGCAGCACAGGTATCTAAAGCAGTAGCCAAAGTCAAGCTATCCGGCCTCACTCCCTGCCTTCGCATCTTCCAAAAGAGTTCCAGCGACCCCTTGAGCTGACCATTCTGGAAGGAAGCTGAGATGATAGCGTTCCACACCAAAACGCTGTAAGGACCTCCATCACCAGCCACACTGCTACTGAAGATGCTCCAAGCCTCTTCCAAGCTGGCACACCTCCCATACATTTCTATCAGCGCCGCACGGACAAGATCATCGTTCTCAGCCCCGAGCTCGACTATCCTGCTGTGAACAAGCCTGGCACCCGCCAGAGACTCGGCACTGGCGAAGGATTTCATCACCGCGAAGTAAGTCGCCTTTGCCGGACCCGTCCTGCTTTCCATTGTCTCGAAGAGTTTGATCGCTTCCTGCCATCTCCCATACTTGGCATAGGCCGCTATCACCGCGGTCCACATACCAACATCCTTGGAAGGCAGCAAATCGAAGAGATTGCGCGCCTCGTCAAGGCTCCCACAGCTGAGATACATCTGGACGATGAATTTGGCGAGCGGGAGCTGCTCGGCAATCCCCATCTGGACGAGCTGCTCGTGGATTCTCCTCCCAGCCACCAGCGCCTTGAGCCGGGTACACAGGCGGACAATGTAGAGGAAGTAATCCCTCTCGCCCCTCCCGCGAATCACATTCCTGTCCAATCCCTCGAGTACCTTGTTGAGCCATTCCAGATTGTACTGCGCCCCCTCCTCGGCAGCGGTGATCTTGCGCAGCGAGCTCTTGGCGCCGATCGAGGACCCGAAATGCAAGTATCGCGAGAAGACAGCAGAACCTGATCAAAATCTAGCGCACCTGAGAGAAAGATCCAACCACAATGCGATCGATCGCAGAGAGCGAGAGAAAGAGAAATCCTACCTGGGATCGCGCACGCCTTCTTGCCACAAACCATAAACCCTAATGGCCGTGGTGTCAAAATCTAGATTTTCTTCTTGAAGTCAATAAACGATTACAAAAGATGTATCTAGCCTTTTCTTCTTCCATTTTGGGGCATGAACTCGATCGTTGCTGACATTCTTGTAGCATTACACTTCTTTTCCAGGAGCACCATCATGTCCACAAAAATAACATAGTTGAACGTATTTAACTATCACAAATTACCATATAAGAAGAATTTAAACCATGGAGCTTATTACATAACTTGCAATTAATAGTGACAATTTCAAAATAATTATAAAAGCCACAATTTAGTATTTTAAAAGTGATAATTTAAAATAATTAGTAGAAACAAAAAACCATAATTACTTGCTATAGTTTTTAATAGTGACAATTTCAAAATAATGCAGCAATGCTTGGTTTGTTTTATAGTAAGTGTTTAGGAAAGTTTATTAATTATAAATATGTTTACAAAATTAATCTAAATGAATAACAACTGTTAGATGGTAAAATATCCTTAGATATCCAAATACATTTTATGTTAATATCTATTACCACCCTCTACGAGTTTGTTTAAGAAAACAAATAATTAACAAAACAAAGAAAAATCTATATTATGTCATGAATTATTATGGTCAAGTTCAAAAGGTGGGAAGGGTTTAAACATTTGACTTTATGATTAATAGTCATTTACTTGAATTAGATAATTAGTGATAAAATAAATTCTCAAAGTTATTTTACACGAAGAGATTTATGTCTCTAGCAATTATATCCACTAGGCATATATGATTTGCTTTTGGTCCATGCACTTTACACAAACGCCAAAATAGATAAATAGAGTTTAGTAATTACTTTAGTGACATATAAAAATTAACATAAAAAAGATATATAATTCATAGAAAAGAGTTTAAACTTTCAACTTTATAAAAAATAACATAAATAAAACAAATAATCATTAAAAAAGAGTTTAATCTTAAACTTTCAAATTCATAGTCATATGCTATAACCAGCTAAACTATTTTATTTTAGCTATAGTAACAAATTGTTTCCAAAATAAATAGTTCTTAGTAATTACTATAGTAACATGTTCAAAATAATATAAACAAAATAAGTAATCCCTAAGAAACATTATTTTTAAATAAATAATTCTATATATACTTTGAAAATAATAAATAAATAAATAAGTTCTATTTCTAATATTAACCTTAATTATGTATCTTGATCAAATCACTTCCAAGGATAGAAGAGGATTGTTTTAATTTCAAACTACCAAAAAAAGCAGAATCAAGTCTTTATTTTATTTGTAAAACAAACTACTAAAAACTTTAAATTGATTTAATATATGGATTTATAAACAATGGGTAGTAAGCAAATGTTCTTTATTTATAATTAAGCACTAATTATTGAATATTTATACTTGATTTTCTTTCAAACTTATTTCTGAAAACTTATTTTGTAAAACTTAAATCTTATCTTTATTGTTTCTGGTTATGTCCAAAATAAATATAAAATTTCAGATAATAATGGATAAAATATATACTATACAAAATATATTACAATAAATAATTTTAAATAGATAGCAATATCATTCTGATTTATCAATTCAATAACATTCAAATAGCCTATTAATTTAAAGGGAACGTGTAAAATGTGAGGTGGTCATGCATAGTTATGCTCATGATCCTAAGTTTTCAAAGAAAACGAGGATGTCAAAGAAAAAAATTAATATGTTCGACCAGCGTAGGAATATGATCAGAAAGAGATTGGATTCTCCAATTCATTCACCTCACTGTTCTAGAAATTTTCTGACTTTTGAGCTCTGAACAGAAGATGATCATCGTTCTTTTCTTTGTGGCGCTTCTCTTTTGGAGCTCTTCATCATCAGGTATTCCAGAAATCGTTTTAGTACAGCGTTTCTTAAAAATCTTTCGTTTCCATATGCAACAGCAGCTTCCAATCCCCCTTTTAGTTTCATACAAGAAGCCACCACTGTCTCGAGCTCCGGTTTGCTTGGCTATGACTACATAATCGTGGGCGGCGGAACCACTGGCTCGCCCCTCGCGGCAACGCTCTCAACTAAATACAAAGTTCTCGTGCTCGAGCGAGGAGCATCACCATACGGCAATCCAAACATCACTAGGATCGAGAACTTTGGAGCGATTCTCGCCGACGTTGGGCCCCAATCGCCACTCCAAGTCTTCTTCTCCAGCGAAGGGGTAAGAAACAGGAGAGCTCGAGTTCTTGGAGGAGGATCTAGCGTAAATGCCGGGATCTATTCTCACGCCGAGCAATCTTTCATCTCCGCTCTGGGTTTGAATCCTTGCCTGGTGAACCAGTCCTATCGCTGGGTCGAGAGTGTTGTGGCTTCCATTCCAAATCAACTCGGGCCTTACCAGAGAGCGTTCCGGGCATCGCTGCTCCAAGCTGGGATCACACCGGACAACAATGCAACGTATGATCACTTGGTTGGAACTAAGACTTTTGGAAGTATTTTTGATCAATCCGGCTCCCGAAAGCCAGCTTCAAACCTCTTTGTCTATGCAAATCCAAGCAATATCAAGGTCCTCCTTCATGCAACAGTACTACGAGTTCTCTTCTCTCAAGGTTTGTGATCAAGTTCCACTTATATAGTTGACAAGAACCTTGAGCACGATCAGGTTTGTCGCCAAGAACGTATGGGGTCGAGTTTAAAGACGAGCTTGGCCGGATCCGGAAGGCTTTCCTTTCTCATCCTGGAAAAGAATCCAGCGAAGTCATTCTTTGTGCTGGTGCGATCGCAAGTCCGCAGCTTCTAATGCTAAGTGGAATCGGGCCTGGAAACCATCTTCGATCCAAAGGCATCAAGGTGATCAAGGATTTTCCAGAGGTTGGAAAACATATGGCAGACAATCCAGCCATTTCCCTGGTCGTGCCATCGCCATCTTACGTCGAGGTCTCCACGAGCTTAAGCGTCGGGATCACGTCCTTTGGAAGCTATATCGAAGCTGGCAGCGGCGGAGTGCGAGGGCCAAATGATACCTTCGTTTCTGAGAAGGTCAATGGCCCAGCTTCCACGGGAGAACTCTACTTGGCCACAACGAATGTGGATGATGATCCGGTTGTAAGTTTCAACTATTTCCGAGAGCCAAGGGATTTGCAAGTTTGCATCGGAGGAGTGGACGCAATCGAGAAAGCATTGCTCTCAAACGCTTACAAACCTTTCCGATATGACAATCAGTCACTCCCATCCGGAGGAACGGTGAGTTTTCCCAGCAGGAGGAATTCAAGCGCGTTGGCTATCAACAACACTCTTGCGGATTATTGTAAGAGAAAGGTCGTGACTTTGTATCACTTCCATGGTGGCTGCCTGGTAAACAAGGTGGTGGATTCCAGCTTCAAGGTAATTGGCATACGAAACTTACGCGTTCTTGATGGTAGCGTTTTCCATGTCTCGCCTGGAACCAATCCACAAGCCACCTTGATGATGCTTGGAAGGTATGCTATCATTTTTTCACTTCCCTCCACCGAGATTTTTGACAGAGTATCAACCACACAGATATGTTGGAAAAGCCATAATCGATCACGATCAAAGAGAGTAAAAGTTTCTTCCCACCATGCCACCATTCAAGAATAAAATTCCAATCCAACAACGAACTTTTCAAGTCACTGGGAAATGTCCAGGCTCCTGAGAAGCGAGTAAGTTGCCGAGCTCTCTGGCTCTAGCATCGCTGCTCGATCCGCCGCTATCTCGGCGTAGTGAGCATCGCCATGAGTGCTGCAAGATCGCAGCAAAGTCGTCCAAGCGCGTCCATCGAGCGAGATCGCTGCTGCTTCGGCCACTTCTCGAGCTCGCTCCAGCAAACCAGCCCCTCCAAGCAAATCGATCAAGGAGCCATGGTGTGGGAGAATCGGTGCCAGGCCAAAGTCTCCAGGCATGGATTGGAAGAAATGCTGGGCTTTCTCGACCAATCCCGCATAAGTGCACGACGAGAGAATTCCAGTGAATGTGATCTCGTCCGGAGAAATCCCCTCGAGCTGCATCATCTGGAAGAGGGCGATGGAATCGCCACTGGTTTGCGTCGCGTTGGCCATGATAATGGTGTTCCAAGACGATAAATCGTGCTCGGGCATGCGATCGAAGATGGATCTTCCATGGCGGAGCTGGCCATTTTGGACGTGACACTGGAGGAGACAGTTCCATGCCGGCAAGTTCCACTGCGGCATCTTGTCGAAGATTTTCGTGGCTTTGGCGGCATTCCAATCGCGAGTTACTGCTGATAGAAGCGTCGCCCATGACAGAGAGTTCCTCTCTGGCATCCTCGCAAACATAGATTCTACTTCCTCGAGGCTGCTGGAACTTGTAGCCTTGCTCTGATGATCATGGCTCGCAAGAGCTGCCAGCATTGCATTCCAGGAGATCAAGCTCCGCTGGGGCGCTCGATCAAACACCAACTTTGCCAGATCCAGATCTCCATTCGTAGCAAATGCATGAATCATCGACGTCCACGTCACAACGTCTCGCTCGGGAATCTCTCTAAACAGCAGCTCTGCTTGGATCAAACACCTGTTTTGGATGAAAGCCGATATCATGTTGTTCCACACCACGGAGCTGAGACCTGGGATCTTCCAAAACACGTCTTTCACTCGATCAAGATCGCCCATCTTGGCAAATGCTTGAATCATCGCGTTCCAAGCAAAGTGGTCGCGCTCCGGCATCAAATCAAACAACATCTTTGCTTCGATCACATCGCCAGCGTTCACTAGACACCACACCATGGCGGTCCAGGTGACGCGATTTCTCTGCGGCATCTTTTCAAAGACGCCCCTCGCGGACAAAACATACCCCGACTGGGCATTTGCTGTGATCAGCCCAGTCCAGCACACAACGTTCTTCCCGGGCATCTTCTCAAAGCACTGGCGAGCCTCGCGGAGACGGCCATTCTGGGTATACGCCACCACGAGCAAATTCCACGAGAAGATGTTGGGCGAGTGAATGGAATCGAAGACGCGCCGCGCGTCGTGGAGGCTGCCACACTTGCCATACATCTCCACCAGGAGATTGGCGAGGAAGCGGTAGTTCCCGAGATTGGCATCGGCGATGTGGGCGTGGATGCGCTTCCCCGCGATGAGATCCCTGGAACTGCCGCATGCCCTCACGATCGAGGCCAGGTGCTCGTAGACGCGATCCAAATGCCCCGGCAATGGCATCCATTACTTAGTAGTAAAATTTAAATTTCTCTCAAGAACCCTAATTCCAGGGACTGTTACGGTGTTGAATGCTCAGCGCGAGGAGCATTAAATTCACCGCAGAATGGGCAGTAACAACACGCAAGGAAGAAAAGGGTCCTGCCCTTTCACCTTTGCATTGAATTGCCGCGAGAGCGATGGCTCCAAGCTCGAATTTTTAACGAAAAACTCTGGGTGTTGGATCATCTAGGCCTAGATCATCACCACTCACGCAAAGAATGGTTTTCTTTTTTCCCGATTTCTTCCGGGTGGGTGTTGGGCGTGCGTCCGATCGCTGTACAGTCCTGGAACTGTTTGGATAGTTAGCAATTAAACAACGACATTGTCTCGCGAGGCTGTGAAAGTGATGAGAAACAGAGGAGCCACTTTCAGCCAGCCAACGCTTGCATCGCTCCTTGCTTGCTCCTGGAGGAGAGGATAGGTTTTGACAAAAAAATTTGGCTTTGGTTGATGCTAGGCTAGAGGAGAGCTACCATAGCCAGGATGAATCCAAGCTAAAAGCCCAACAAGGGATAGCTCCTTCTTTCTTCTTGCTCGCTCGCATAGCCGCCAAAAAAGAGTGAGATTGAGCAGAGCGGTGATTTGATTTTATGGGATATATGATCATCACTAGCAGCATCATCATCCACTAAGGAACTATGCGCAGCAGTCGCAAGAAATGGATGGGATTTCTGGGAATCCAAGAGCTCCTCCCAAATGACTGACTAGAACAGCGCATCGCCCAATTCGCTGTAGACGCGTACGTCGCCAAGCATCTGGAAAGAGTCAACCCTTTTTTCTTCTTCTTCCCTCTTGGTACTGTCTGGATCACGCGACACACACGACACAAGCGAGCAAAAGAGAGATTTTTACTGCGCATTGGGATTTCTTCTTCCCGGAGGAAGATGGAGGCTGTAGATGAAATGATGCTGGGACAGCGACTGGTGGGCGACGGCATTGCGAGCGTGGTGCTCGGTCTATGGCTCCGGGACGCCTTTTGGTAAGTGCCCACATCCAGATCGATCGATCTTGGTCTTGGGTCTAGCTCCTCGCGCATGATTATCATCGATCCAGATCCCAGGAAGAAGAGAAGGAAGAAGAAGAGAGCTCATCATGCCCTCTCTCCTCTGGCAGCTCCACCACTCGGATGATGGGTCCAATCTAGAGATCTCTCCAGGAGCGTCATCATCCAAGAATCATGGCAGCGATGATTTGCGAACG